TAGTGTTCCCTGGTGTGTTTGCTCATAGCTAGTGTTCCCTGGTGTGTTTGCTCATAGCTGCTGTTCCCTGGTGTGTTTCCTCATGGCTGGTGTTCCCTGGTGTGGTCCCTCATAGCTGATGTTCCCTGGTGTGTTTCCACATAGCTGGTGTTCCCTGGTGTGTTTTCACTTAGCTGGTGTTCACTGGTGTGGTTCCACATAGCTGGTGTTCCCTGGAGTGGTTCCTCATAGCTGGTATTCCCTGGTGTGGTTCCTCATAGCTGGTGTTCCGTGGTGTGGTTCCTCATAGCTGGTGTTCCCTGGTGTGTTTCCTAATAGCTGGTGTTCCCTGGTGTGTTTGCTCATAGCTGGTGCTCCCTGGTGTGTTTGCTCATAGCTGGTGTTCCCTGGTGTGTTTCCTAATAGCTGGTGTTCCCTGGTGTGTTTACACACAGCTGGTGTTCCCTGGTGTGTTTCCTAATAGCTAGTGTTCCCTGGTGTGTTTCCTCATAGCTAGTGTTCCCTGGTGTGTTTGCTCATAGCTGGTGTTCCCTGGTGTGTTTTGTGTTTCCTCATGGCTGGTGTTCCCTGGTGTGGTCCCTCATAGCTGATGTTCCCTGGTGTTTTTCCACATAGCTGGTGTTCCCTGGTGTGGTTCCTCATAGCTGGTGTTCCCTGGTGTGGTTCCTCATAGCTGGTGTTCCCTGGTGTGGTTCCTCATAGCTGGTGTTCCCTGGTGTGGTTCCTCATAGCTGGTGTTCCCTGGTTTGGTTCCTCATAGCTGGTGTTCCCTGGTGTGGGTTTCCCCATAGCTGGTGTTCCCTGGTGTGGTTTCCTCATAGCTGGTGTTCCCTGGTGTTTCCTCATAGCTGGTGTTCCCTGTGTGTTTCCTCATAGCTGGTGTTCCCTGGTGTGTTTCCTCATAGCTGTGTTCCTGTGTGTTTCCTCATAGCAGGTTTCCCTGGTGTGTTTCCTCATAGCTGGTGTTCCTGGTGTGTTTCTCATAGCTGTGTTCCCTGGTGTGTTTCCTCACAGCTGTGTTCCCTGGTGTGTTTCCTCATACCTGGTGTTCACTGGTGTGGTTCCACATAGCTGGTGTTCCCTGGTGTGGTTCCTCATAGCTGGTGTTCCCTGGTGTGGTTCCTCATAGCTGGTGTTCCCTGGTGTGTTTCCTCATAGCTGGTGTTCCCTGGTGTGTTTCCTCATAGCTGGTGTTCCCTGGTGTGTTTCCTCATAGCTAGTGCTCTCTGGTGTGTTTCCTCATAGCTGGTGTTCCCTGGTGTGTTTCCTCATAGCTGGTGTTCCCTGGTGTGTTTCCTCACAGCTGGTGTTCCCTGGTGTGTTCCCTCATAGCTGATGTTCCCTGGTGTGTTTCCACATAGCTGGTGTTCCATTTTGTGTTTTCACATAGCTGGTGTTCCCTGGTGTGGTTCCTCATACCTGGTGTTCCCTGGTTTGTTTCCTCGTAGGTGGTGTTCCCTGGTGTGCTTCCTCATAACCGGTGTTCCCTGGTGTGTTTAAGTCATAGGGTGGTGTTTCCCTGGTTTGCTTTCTAGCTGGTGTTGTGTATGGTTACACTAAGCTGGGTGACCCGTGTTTAGAGAAGTAGTGAGCCGGAGAGGGTTAGAAAAGAGAGTTCCGTGCAGAGTATGATGAATGGGGGTGTGGTAACCGGTGACGTGTTGACTTTCCTATGTAGTGATTTCGGACTCCTACGACTATGAGAACCACGTTGTAATTCTCGCAAACATGGGCGGTAGGAAGTTCTGCATTGTGAGATTGTTCGACCGTAGGGGATGCAAGTTTCAAGGGACAAGTGCCTCGCATCTGAGTATGCTCATACTTTCTTGGATGTGTGCTCCTTCATTTGTAAATCTGCGGGAGAGCAAGGCCTCACAGAGCCTTCACACCGGAATGTCGGCGCTCTTCTGTTATGTACTAAGCAATTGTTCACACTTGGCTCCACTCCAAGGCGGTCGAGAAGTGATTGCGGTTCTGGTATCTCCTCAACCTGCGAAAATAGGGGATCAAGCAAATGAACTTTAACCACAAATCACTCTCAGTATACTGCTCTAATGCTGTGAAATTTCACCTTGCTTATCTTAGTTGTTAGTTTCTTGGGTAACACATTATAGCCTCAAATCTGAGGGTAACTAATGTGAGAGTTCACCATGTTAAAGTTACTCAACATTTCTAGATGTATTTCAATAGCAATCTTCAGTGTCAATCCGCAGAGGAGTTCGTGTAAAATACCTAACATTCTTGAGAATGACTGAAAAAACCTCAAGAAAGAATTCATCCCTTAAGAATCCTCAGAGTGAAGTGGTTTGCTAGCACAACAGCAGCTCGGTGAGTGAAACAGTTGATTTATGTCACTAAGAACTGGTAGTTTGATTTTGTAAATGTTATGATTATCTGTAACAGCATTTACCCAGAACGTCAAGGGTATCTGCTTGGGAATCCTTTTCAACACAAGTTAGCTCAAAAACAATGTTTCTGGTATTACGCATAAAAAAACAGACATTATGGTAATGGGAGATGGTAAAGAAATCCACTAGAGAGAAGTGGAAAGAAGGTATGATAAGTTCTTCATTTCTGGCAAACTCAAGTATAATAGGGACTCTTCCTAATGGTGAAAGCTTGCATCTTGGAGGAAACATCCGGAAGGAAACATTGAGAAACTTGCTCTCTCAATAACAGAAGCTTCAAAAAAGACGCTGCTAGCTTTGATTATTTCGATAACATTGTTTGACATTAGAAGTAAAGCCATAGATCGTGGGTTAATTGAACATTTTAGTTGTAGAAGTATGTTTTTTTTGATTTTTCAATGTTTTTCATTTCATGTAAAGTTAGAACAGTATAATGAAAAAGTCAGTAGCTCAGTTTAATTAAAACTGAAATTGCTAAGCTTCTGAACTAGAAAGTGAAAGATTCTTATTTTCCCAATATGCAAAATTAAATGTTTTTGAAGTTCCCACCAAATTTTTAAAATCTTTAAATAAACAGACATACGAGTGTTGGGAAACATTAGTATAGCGTCTAATAATAAACTAGAAATTTAGACTTTTATCGTAATTAAATTCTGATTTGCCTTCGTTTAGATTAATAAATTGTAAAACAGATTAAGATTTTGACTTTACTTTAAAATTTATAAAGCCACAGAGGTTGCTGTAATTAGTAATTAATGTAATGACACTGGCGTTACAGGGAAATTAAATTATTTAATATTTGATAACCTTCCTGTGTTATGTAATACCTATTTAACATCACGCATTTCTTTATACAATGAACGTAGTTGGTGTAGTATACAAAATAAAAAATTATTCCAAAAATATAGATATCGATGGAAAATCGAGAATTAGTATCGTTTTTTACCAAAAATTGGGTTATGATATCGGTATCGTCCCATTCTTACTTTGTACCGCCTGACTATTGTTCAGGTCTGGTCTGGCGATGGTAACAACACTGTGGGTAGTTTTAACACCATAACACTAATTTCTCAGAACACTTCTGTGACTTAGCGAAAGATATACCTAATTTTTCTTCAAGAGTAATCTTTCTGTTGTAGTTTCTATGCAGCAGTAAAATTAAAAGCTCTTAGCCTGTGAAACTGACCTGAGTAGAAAAAAGAAGCCTCTGACTGATCCACTTACGTAGATCATCACCAAACAATTGGGTCATTACCACTTATGTGAGATGTCTTCGTCAGTCATGTCCACTTACGTGGACAGTGACAAAATAATCAGTGCTTAACTTTCTATCCAAAACAATCATCACTTCACTTACCCAGAGAAATCTGAATTTGTCTCCCAAGCTATCGGTATGACATTGAAATTCTTAATTTTAGTTAACCAGTTAGCAACACTTAACCAGCCAGTCGATGCCACGCTTCCTCTTACCATCGATAGCTTAATTTCATGTTCTTTTTATTATATTATTAATATTATTCACTGTTCAACACTCATTTTCTGGTCAATATTATACCGATTTTAGGGTGTTTGTGGTGCTGATTCCAAACATGTCATCGATTTTGCTTGACTGGCTCAAGCTTTTGATAAGCTTGGTATTCCTTCGATAAACATGAAAGATGTGAAAAATATATCGATCAGGCGGGGCTAACTTACATGTCGCTTTGAAAATCAAATTTAGATCATGCAAAAGTTAAATCATGTCTTATATACTAGCACTTCATATTATATAATTAGAGATTATCATAACAGCGTAAATCAGATACCAGTAATTAATGCATATGAAAACGTTGAATGTTGGTCATCAGCAGAGTCCCGTTGGAGGCTCCAGCAATGGTCTGCCATCATGTGTGTCCCATCTACCTTGCTGCACTCAGAGCAGTGGATGCTGCTCTGAAAGCAGTGGATGCTGCTTTGAAAGCAGTGGATGCTGCTTTGAAAGCAGTGGATGCTGCTCTGACAGCAGTGGATTTTTTATTGTTTGTTTTTGCAAAGAGTATTCACCACAAATGTAGCAAAATGCACTTCGATTGTTTGAGTAGACTCTTCGTGAAGAACTAATGTTTAGCTGGAAAAAAAATTAACAAAATAAGATTACAACAATGTCAAGTCTTCGTTGTTGATATAACTCCTTTCGTTAAACATTAAATAATTTAAACATAAAATTCAATAGTTATTAAAAAGTATCTGTATTTACTGATTGTCACTACATATATGTGCATTATGACTAAGTTTCCTGTTAACTTAGGTTAGGTCTGCAGTATCTCACAAACTAGAGCCAATCTGAAAAATATTGCTATTTTCGGATTCAGCAACCCCATAATACCCTAAATACCTTCAAATATGTTTTGCAAAGAATTTTTTTTTCTGTTGACCAGTGATTATTATTATTATTATAAAATATTAATCTTTTTAATTTAGACAATTCAAACGAATCACCATGTGATTTCATTAACTCAAACCATACAAATCTTCAAGCAAATCTAAATGTTTGCCTGGTAACTAAAAGATAAAATGATAATTAATGTTTTTACTGTATCTGGTTGGCACCAGGTAGAGGAGTCGCACTTCCTGAAGGGTGAACTGGTGCTCAAGTGCCAGGCCACGGTGGCGGCGGTATACACTGTATTAAGGAGGAGGATGCCACGGTCTCCCACGGTCAGCCTGTTATACTTGAGCAGCGTGAACATCGTGTTCTTGGTAAGTAAACCTAAGAACAGAGGAGAACATAGGAATAGAAGAGAAAGAAGTGCAGTAGCCCTTATGTCCTTATCTTCACTGATCTGTTAGATTGTTCCACTAACCCGAAACTCTATTGCTGCATTAGTACTTTTCTAAATCCTTTATTAATCTGAATTTATCCAATTAGCAGCAATTAGTTCGAGTTTTCGTCTTTTTTTTTTTTTAAGCACCTTACTTATTACTCTATTGTTTAAACTGTCTGCCACTTGCACCGTTCAGTTTTTCTCTCTTTATTTGATGTGTTTCTAGAGAGTGCATATTCTAGGCTCTTTAATTTATCTTCTTTATACAGAGGATTAATTTTGTCAATATATGTATATTCTTTCAAACATTAATGTCCATTGGATATATGAAGAGCAGAACTGAGCCGCGTAATATAAGGTAGACCTTACTAATATCTAGACTGACATCTAGACTCCTGTTAAATTTCTTGATTTAAAGCCGAGCCCAAAGTCATGTGACTGACAACCGGTCAGAGGGACATTTCTCACCTCCCACCGGGTACAGAAGGAGGGGAGGGGGGTAGCAGGAAGGATGCACCCAACAGAACAAGAAAACTGCCCAACAAACTACCACCATCATTCATTTATACTTCCACGACTCCTGTCTAATGAACTTTTCCCTCACAGAAGAGGAGGCAAAGTATGTTTTTTTTTGCGGGGGGGGGGGGGGCTAGGATGCAGGATACTGTTAACTGTCATGGAAGGTAATGAGACCAATCCTGTTGGCAGACGTAGGAGTCAGAATATGATTAGCAGGTATAGGTCAGCAATAGACATAATTAGGAATAAGGGAGGGTGCCCTGAAGTATGTGGCATTTTTAAAAGGAGAGGAGTTGGAATTGAATGGTTGTCCAGGGCAACTGGCGTTAATTACTGACTGGACAAACATTGTAAGGACATTGCTGTACCATTTTTTTTTTATATTTTATTTAAAAAACCTTACAAAAGTACAAAGGATGCATAATAATACTTGTTACCTCCAGGTTATTCCTGGAGGTAACAAGTATTATAACAACATCCTGTTATAGCAAACAGTACACGCAAAAACAAAACTCACTAAAGTATTAGTCATTTATAGGTACCGCCACGAGAATTGTGACCAAAGAAACACACCAAAAGGAAATTATACATGGGTTAACAAAATAAAAAGAGTACCTGTCATAACCTATTACAACAATAAACAACATACAATGCACAACATCACAAGGTTACTAAAGTAAAAGTTGTAACACATGACTAAAGCCATAACCACCTTTAACACACAATATATATACAACACAAATCATGTCAGTAAAGTAAAAAGACCCTAACCAAAGCTACCATAACAACAATAAAACAAAGACACAAAACCCGAACATACCCACTATGACAGGGTACAGAGTATTGGTTAAAGTTGTGTTACATTATAGCCTAACCAATAGGAATTCTGAAGGAACGTATGATTCCTAATGCACAATAACCATGGAGAAACAGTATTTTAATATTATTAATATGTTAAACCATCAAGAACTATAATTATTGTACAGAAAACAGAATAACATACATGTAACATACAATAATAAAATAAACTCAAAACAAGCTTTTATAACATAATAAAACTCAGCACATCAAAAGGGTTTAATACCAAACCCTACACAGAAATTAAACCTCCCACATATGCATGTAAACCGAAACTCTTGTCCACAAATTTTTTGGTATAAACCCCTTAATAAATATGGTATAGACCCGAGACCTATACATACTCTTAAAAAAATACCACATAGAACCTCCAGCAAACAACAAAAGTTAAACATAATACAAGACAAGTAGCAAGTATAAGGGCCGCTGTATTTTGCCGGTCCCAAAAAACAGACATGTACCTCAGAAAAATTTATGTTGAAACCTTCTTGCCATATCTGATTACTTAAAAACGAGATCCTAAGGGCTCGGTATCCTGGCTATCAAGGAAGATTTCTTACACAGTGAACATAACCATCAGGGTTAGAAAATTAACCTTGTAAGCTACTCTTATATCTCACTATGGCAAACATTCCCGTGAAACATAGCTTACCATCCACACCAAACTGCCACTACCTTCCTCTTACACACCACAAAAAAACTCCAGCGGCAAACAAAATCCCCCAACCCCCCTTTACATCCCCCAGAAGGAGACCACCCCTTTGCCCATTCTCAGGGACTCTGACAAAGGGAGCCCACAGTGAGGTTCCTGTAACCTTCCAGGAAACTTTTTTCCCAGGACGCCCTATAAACCAGCATATTCCTACACTTCGTCCTATAGAATCTAGCCGCCAACGCTTTTATCCTCGTATCACCCCTTAATTCCCTCATTTCCCATTTGCCGCTTAAAAGCGGCAAACGTCCCCCCCAACAATCTGATAACCCCACCCATCCATGATCTCACCCCCTCCAAGGAGGGACAAAAGAAGACCACATGAAACGCCATTTCAACATCACAAAACTGACAAAAAGCCTCTTCCACCAACCCCATATATCTTAACACCTCCTTGGAGGCCAGAACCCCCATGAAGAAACGATACACTAATTCTCTTACCCTAGCCGGTATTCTAAGCTTACTAAAATCCTTCCAAATAACCCCCCAATCATACGTTGGATACACGGCTACCCCTTGCAAAATTCCCTGACCTCCCACTACCATCACCATCCTTTTCACTTTGATGTTATCCACCTGTTGCACTATCAATAAAAATCTTAACATATCTTCACAAACCCGCAGGTCCTTGCCACTCCACAAATTTACGTGCCTCCTCCATAACTCTTCCTACGTTAGCTCCCCTCACGCCCCCTTCCCTAATATACCTCTGCTTGATATATATAGCCATTACTCTCAATCCTAAAGGCAACAAACCTAAACCCCCTCTTTGAACATCCATCAAACTACCTCCTTACTTAACCATGCCCCCCCAAATCCCCACACAAACTTTAGCACCCTCCTCTGCATTTCCACAATGTCCTGCACTTCTAAGGGAAAAACCTCTGCCGCTCCCCATACCTTGCTATAGACAATTGAATTTACCACCACTACCCTCTGATGTAAAGCTAAGTCCCTCACACTTAAACCTCCTAGCCTACTTAAAACCTTACCTGTGACAGACTCCGAATTTACCCTTCTGCATGCCCACACCTCCGCCATATACCATATCACACATACCCTGATTCTGTCAACCACTGTCCATCCTAACCCTATCCCCAAGCCCTCCCTATCCAATTACCCACCTCTAGTAACCTTGATTTTACCGTATTAATTCGCATCCCCTTATTCATATTAAACATATGAATCACTCTCCCCACCCTCCTTAACTCCTCCTTTCCCCGTAGCAAAACAGTAGTATCATCCACATACCCAACGATACCCCCTTTGCACCCCCCTTCCATCTCCTGTTTGTCCATCACCCGCTCAACAGACTAATAGAAAGGATTCTGCACACGCAAAAAGCAGCTGCGATAGCGGGCAACCCTGCCTCAAACCTCTCTCCATCGGTACACTTTCACCCAACCTTCCATTGACCTGTACCCTCACCTCCACCTCAGCATACAGGTTGTTCACCCACCTCACTACCCCCTCCCGAAACCCGAACCTCTCTATGCAAACCTCTAAGAAACCTCTGTCCACGCAATCATATGCGTTCTTCCAATCTAAGCCTAGTATTCCCCCTATCGTACAACTCTAGAAAATCCCTAATAAAACCATGTCCATCCCTCGTTCTTCTCCCCGGAATTCCCAACTGCCCCCTATGTAACACTAAACCCAACACTTTCCTCATTCTGTTGCCCAAAATCTTAGCAAAATCTTGTAATCTGAGCACATTAACGTAATCGCACGGTAATCATTGAAAACTCGGCATTCATTCCTTTTTGGGCACTAAAACCGTGACACCCGTTCTTTGCAATTTTTCCATCCTCCCACTACTTAACATACAATTCAAAGCCCCCACCAGACAATGCCGTACACTCCCCCAATGAAGCCTATAAAAATCGTTGGATATGCCATCTATCCCAGGGGTTTTACCTTGGCACAGCCCAAAAACTGCCTCCTCTATCTCCTCTACACTAATACTACTCTCGAGTCTGTCACTGTCCTGCTCACTTATAACCCTATTAAAACCCCTCATCCCCAAAACGTCCCTCACCCACTCCCCCGCCAACCCTCCTCCATTTCTCCCTAAACCAAAAATCGGCATACAAACTAATATGTACTGTGGTGGATAGGCTTTGACCCTCCTCAAATCCCCCCCCCCCTGTTCCTGCCACTATATACACCAAGGTGGTGCTCGTCTGCCTTTCCTTAAATTTCCTGAGTACAAATCCCAACGGCCTATCCCCCCTTAAAACATCCTCCAACCCAACCCTAACTCTAATTGCCTCAAACTTTTCATTATGGATTTCTGCCAACCTATTTTGCAAACGTTCCATGTCCTCACTCCGCCCAACCCGGTCCTCTGCATAACAGTCATTTAACTGACCTTCAAGATAATTTTGTAGACCATAGCTCCACCTCGCCATCTCCTTACCCCATAGTTTAAAAAAGTCTGTGATTCCAACTTTAGCCCTCATTTCCCACCAATCCAGCAAATCCATCTCCCTATTCCTAGTCTCCCAAAAGGATTTCCACCAATCCTCAAATCCTGTAGCATCACCCTCATCCCTAAGGAGCCTCACATCCAATTTCCGGTATCTCGTATAAACTCTCACTATACCATCTACCCTCAAATCTGCTATAACAGCACGATGATCAGAAAAACCCACATCTATAGTCCTCACCCTCTCCAAACCTATTCCCTGCCTAACATAAATCCTATCTAACCATGCCTCATATCCCCTACGAATAAAAGTGTGCTCCACTCCATATCCCCTACTCCCCACCACATCTACCACTCCAACATCCCGCAAAACGTCTCTCAGAACCCCAAAAACACAACCTGTCTCCCTCAGAACCAC